ATACGAATACAACCTAAAAGCTACCTCGGGTACATATCTGTAGTACCTGAAACGACAACGACCCCATCTGCAATATTAGCAGTGTGAGATAACTGAAAATATCTAATGATGCAGCAGTTGTGAGGAACCTGAAAATACTAACATCAACAGAGTTGATAACTTTGAGAACATTTTAATATCAGCAGGTGCTAGGCAAAAATACATCGAATGATTAACCCTAAAATTGCCTTTGTGAGTGTAGTCAAATCCATATTACGATTATGAATACTCCGCGTAGTACATTATATAACGCGCCCCCTGGTGAAGTAAAAAACTAATATTTGCTTTTATTTACTCGGTGATTATATGTTTAATCAGGGCGCCTTCGAGGTAGACCGCTTTAGCGTAGCTGCCGCACACGCTCGCCGGTAGTGAGTCTATACTTAACCTTGCGAACTTGCTCGTCCACCTATGGGTAATCCGCATTTTTAGGACCTTTACAGAATTTATAAGTGCTTAGCGCTTCTATGCCCGTTGTCACCTGTCCACAGCCAGCGCTAACAGGATTACGGTCATCTACTGTGCAGGGTGGACACCACAGCACGATGCATCTCCGTCTGGTCACTCCTGTATCAGTGGGCAGCACCTTTGGTGGGGTGTGCGTAGCGTGCAGAAACAGCGCTTAGTGCGAGCGTAGTGTGCACGCCCTTAGTTTCTTAAGTGCGGGAGGCGTTCGAGGTGTGCCGGCGACAAATATTAGATTGATAATCTTCAGGTGTGCGCAGGATCCTGCCACCTGTGATGAGTCATTGTGAGGCAGCGGTGTGATTCACCGTGTAGTATGACTGGGTTCACGGGTAGCTGGACTTTGCACTGTCAAAAGATAAGAATATTACGGCAGCATTTTTAAGTGCACAAAAAAAAACATTTTGTCTCGAATTACGAAATAGTATCTCGTAAGGCCGCCCGCACACCAGCCGATTTTTACAAAACGATTGAAGCCGATGAAAGCGATGAAGCATGAACGCGCATGTAGGTGTGCGGTCGCACACCTACAGATAATTTTCTTCAATATTTATCGCCCACACGATGTTTCCTGAGGTCACGCGCACACCCAACAAATGCGCGTCCAAATAACGGGTTCAAAATCAAACATGTTGTCGCATTTCGTGGAACGATCAACCCGATAAAAATAAAATCGTCTACAAATAGAACGCGCACAACCTACATCTTTCATCGCTCATCGCTTCATCGCTTCATCGTTTGTGTAAAAATCGGTGGTGTGCATGGATGGCCTTAATTACGAAATGAGTTTCTCGTAATACGAAATTAGTTTTCTCGAATTATGAAAAGTTTCTCGTAAGTAACGAAATAAGTCTTGCCGTAATTTTACGAAATAGTAAAAACACACACAAACAACCCCGTAGGGGACAGCACCTGGGGGCGTGGGGGTCCTGGTACGCTTCATCGCGACAGCCGGTGGCTCGACCCAACCTAGCTTCCATCAATAGTAGCCCAGCCCAATGGTACGCGGATCACTTGTTGTGTGATATGCTTGTTGAAGCGTAAACTGTCAACCACATAATATTCCGTGAAGCACGCGCTATACGGTATCAGGACAGAATACCGCCGTGACAATCACCCCCGCGACAATTACCCCCCGCGACATTTACCCGCCCGGACAATTCAGCCCCCGCGATCATTATAGAGGAGGAGATAGAGGACGACGGAAGAAGGTAGTGGAGGAGGAGGTATAAACAGTCTAAGGAGGGGGAGAGGCAGGAGGTAGAGAGGTAGAAAGGTGCAGGTGCGCTGTGTTGAAGGAGGCAAAAAGAGGGGGAGGCGAAGAATGTGTGGAGGAGGAGGAAGAGGATGGAGGTAGCATAACACCTCTCCTCTGACCTCCTCCCTCCTCCACCTCCTCTCTTCCTTCTCTCCTCCTCCACCTTCTATCCCCTCCTCTCACTTCACACCACCTATCCTCCCCTATCCTTCTCCCCCACCTGCTCCCCCCACCGCCTCTCTACAACTCCTCTCCTCGTCCTCCTTCACCTCCTCTCCGCCTCTCTCACCCACCTTCGATGTTGATCCCTCCTCATCCGTCCGACCACCGCTCCCCACGTTCTCCCCCTCCTCGGGCACTATTCCTCGCGGGTAGCCTGGCGCATCGCCGTCGGCCTGCTGGCTGGGCAGTCGCGCCGGCTCCTCCACTCTTCCTCTCCGCTCCTCCTCCTCTCCTCCACCTTCTCCCTCCCTCCTCCTCCGCCTACCACCTTTGCTCTCACCTTCTTCCCTCCCCTCCTCCCACCACCTTCGTCCCTCCTCCTCCAACCTTCTCCCCCCACCATCCTCAACTACCTCCCCTCCACCACCTTCTCCCAT